AATACCTTAAATATGAGAATTAGGATTTGATAGATCAAATGTTCAAATAATAGGACTTATTGGAATACAAGAATATCTTATGGACTAATTGAGATATAAACACTTGAAAAATGATTTTTTAATAAATCTCCGGGAAAATCGGTCTAAGGTCCCTATCCAACTTTAGTAATGGATTATATCCACGATATATTCTTTTGTAGTCTAAGGTCCCTCACCCCCGTACCCTTATATTACACCTGCACTCTCATAGCCAGAGAGGATAACCAAGTCAGGAACATAAAGGTCTGAATTTGATTCTCGTTGGTCGAAACCCCGAGAAACTCAAGGAGGTTTCGGAGTCGATCGGAGCCAAATTCGGGAAAACCTAGATCAAGACTGTGGTTGTTGATTTCTCTGGAGATTTGAACGAAGGGGTTAATCGGATTCGTGAAACCATTGAAGGTCTGGATGTTGGAGTTCTGATCAATAATGTTGGAGTTTCGTAGACTGCAAAATGCCCAGTTGGTGTCCTCGGTGACGCCGTCTGTGGCGGCCGAACAGCACTTACCACCTCTTGAAACGCTGCCACGCTACAAGCGTCCATCCAAGCGACCCAAACTCCCCTTGGGTTTGGGATCCTCTTTTCCATCAAAACCTACAGTAACTCCTCATCATTTTAAACCAGATTTCACTACCAACTATGCTTTTCCTTCCCAAGAAGAGGATTAATCTGTTCTTCAACATTTTCAAATTAATAGAATTGTCATTCTTCGGTATGGAGCATTCTCCTCTTTCTCACAAATGCTATTTGTTATCCTCATGAAAGCATCACTCTTATTCTGTTGTCATAACTATATTGGTTAATGCGGAAGATATAAAACCACAATAAAGGAAGAAGACAAACAAAAATGAATATATTGATTGTGAAGTTTAGTTTTTTTAGCATCAAGATGAGTGACTACTGTAAGGATTATTTATTTTATACACACTGTTATTATGCTGCATTGATTTTGGTGGAATAAAAATTCAGAGAAATTAACCAGAGAATTTCTCTAGACCAACTCAGAGAAAATTCAGACCAACCAAACCAGAGAATTTCTCTAGACCAACCTAACCCAGAGAAAATTCAGTTCAGACCAAAAAAAGTCCAACAACTTAGAGAAAATTCAGACCAACCAAACCAGTTATATATATACACATCCAGAACCATGCCTCTTTTCTCTCTTTCAATTCACTAGCATAAAAACCCACACATATACATACATATATTTATGTAGACTTTTTATGTACGATGGGAATCATCACAGTAGGTTTGGGGAATATAACAGTGGGCATTTATGTCTACTGTTTAATGAAAAACTTTTTCACCGTGGGCAGAAATTGAATAATGAAAATATTTATTTTGATGATGAAATCATAAGAATGAAAAATATTGAGGAATTTTCTCTGGACCAATTTTCTCTGGATCAATTTTATCTAGACAAATATATTACACAAAGTCAGAGAAATTCTTTATGAATAGAGCCAGAGAAATTTGTGAAGTCAGAGAAATTTCCTGGATCAATGTACAATAACCAAGGTTTGTTCGTAAAAATACAACTCTGCAAATAGAGAGAATTTCTCTAATCTGTCTGGTTTGGAGAGAATTTCTCTGGTTTTGGACTAGAGAAATTTATGGTTTTGTTAGTAAAGATTGTATTGTTGGCTTACATAATACATAAAGTCAGAGAAATTGACAATGTGCAAAGGATTGGGACATAAACTTAAGACAATGGAAAAAAACTGTAAGAGAGAAAGAGTACTAATCAATACCAAACAAAATCATGGGCATTTTGCATGCTAAAAGTAGCAGCAGATCTGGAAATTTTCTTAGTGATATAGTAAAGAGAACAAAGTACTACCTAATGTCCATAAGAGCATGTGATTGTATATGGTCAAGACAGTCAGTTAACGCATCAGAGAAATTCTAGGAATGATTGGGCCAGAAAAATTCTGAGAAGAATTAGAGCAGAGAAATTCAAAATTTCTCTGGACTCAACCAATGCATTAGAGAAATACTGAGAAATTCTGAGAAGAATTGGGTCAGAGAAATTCTGAAAATAATTAGACTTTCCAGAG